CCACCAGCTCTGTGCACCTGTGTGTGTGCACGTGTGCGTGTACTCAGCTCTCTGCCCTCTTATTGCACATATCCATCCATGTAACCACCACCACGGTGAGAATGTTTCCGTCACCACAGGCTCCCACGTGCTGCCACTTCCCAGCCTCGTGTCCCTCCGCCACTATCCCTCACCCCTAGCACCACCACTCCTTGTCATTTAGGGAGTGTCATGGAAATGGAATCGTGTGCATGGAGCCTCTGGGGACTGGCCTTTTTCCTCAGCATAACTCCCTGGAATTCCACATCCCCCGGGCCAGCCTCCGCGCTCACAGTCACACCTGCTGTGGGCGAGGCAGCTGCTGGCCAGAAGCTCAGGGAGATCTCATCCGAAGGAGGTGCAGCGTGGCGCAGAGCAGGCATGAGCCGTCGCATGCTGGCTGCACCACCTGAACACAGGGCCCTTGTTTGTGGCTGCCTGGGTTTGACCCACATGTCACCAGAGCCAGGGCTCAACAGTGGCTGCGGAGCTGCCAGTCAGTCCCCAGGGTGAGGTGGGTGAGGCTGCAGTGGTGGGCACCCCTCCCTGGGCTGTCTCAGCTCTCAGGGCCTGAGGTGTCTCACGTGGGCGGGTGGCAGCCTCCAGGGGATGGCTCTGCGTGAGGCCGAGGCCCTGCAGGAACGTGCAGGGCCTCATGGTGCCCAGTGCGGTGTCCAGTATGGTGCGCACAGGCGGCCCCATCCTGGAGCGTCCGTCGTGTGTCCAGGAGGTGCTGCTGGGCAGCGGCTCTGCGCAGTGCAAACACCAGGGCACCAGCCAGCCTCTGCCCTTCCTCACACTGGGCCACACGGGAGGCAGCGTGGGCCACAGGCACACTCCTGGAGCGCCCGGCCACTCCTGCCCACACCGCCTCCTCCCTGAGCTTCTAGAAACCCTTTGTGCTCTGCTGTGCCTCTTTGGGATCTTTGGAGACCCACGCTGCTCCCTGACTCCTCCTGGTCGCGGTAGTGCGGCTGCCTCAGGCTGGCGGGGAAGCCGGGCGAGGTGCACACGTCCAGCGCCATCCCCTCCCCTCTCACAGCCAGCTCGGCCCGTTGCTGGGTGGCCTGTGGAGCCAGTGGGCACGGCGCCCGGCAGTCTGGTTCTCAGTGGCGGTGCGCTTCTGCCATGGGGCTTGTGCGATGTCCGTGCCGGCGCTCTGTAAACAGCACCCGCCCTTGGGCTCGCTTCTGTGCTGCATTGACCCCGCACCGCGCAGGCCACACCCTTCTTTCCAGAAGGCCTCCGTCGTCACCACTGAGCGCACGTCTGCTGCCCTTCAGAGATGTCTGTGTGCATTAGAGGCTCGCGGGGGCCAGGGCAGCGCTCCTCCAGGCCCACGGCTCTTGGCTGGGATTTAGCATCTGTCTCAGCCAATGTCCCGGGAAACAGAGCAGATGGGCTTGAAGGGGTGTTCAGGGTCCCCATTTTTTGGGGTGTCAAGCAGCCATATGGGCCATACTTCCCGATTCCAAATGTGTCATGTGTGTATGTGTCCATCCTGGGTGTTTCCTCGTCATCCCACCCGCCCCAGTCCTGTGTTTGGAAGTGAGGTAGCCAGGGCCTCGGGGTCTCCAGGCCATGCAGCAAGGGTCCCCTGTAGAGCAGAGCAATTCCACACTGGTGTTGGGTGGGCCCTGTTCTGCACAGACCCTCCGTTCTCACCCCTGGCCCCTACCCTCTCCAGTCTCCTTCACCCTAGAGAAGGCGGGTGCCCCTTCCCATCCCCTCCGGCCTTTCCAGAGCCTGACCATGCCTCTCCCTGCTCCAGGATGCCCTCAAAACCAGAGTTCTTCAAGAGTCTGTGGTCCACTCTCGTCTCCTTCCTCCACTTGCCCCACCCTCCCCACCCCTCATCCCACAGGAGCATCTCTACTGTGGCCCCACTCATGACCTCAGTATTTCTGAAAGCAGTGGCCGTCCCCATCCTGGTCTTCTCGTCCCTCCTGAGTTTTCCCATGTCGGCCACACTACCTCCCAAAGTTCTTTGCCTCTGCCTCGCAGACCTCTGCTGCTTTCTCCCCGTGAGCGGTCAGCAGGGACAGCTGTGCGGGAGCCTGGGGCCCCATGGGAGCACTGGGCTGGGGTGACCCCAGTGGTGCCCAAGTTGGGCCAGGTGGGCTCACAGCCGTGTCTGTCATTTGTTGGCCACCGGCCACCCCAAAGGACCTCGGGCCTGTGGGCATCGATGCGGGCTCTTCCTGAAGATGCAGACGGCAAGACTCCTTTCTCCCTCACCTGGTGTGGGACCTGATCCAGTGCTGTCCTCCTGCCTCCTGAGTTCCCCTCAGCTCCATCTGCTTGTCCTACCACCCCAGTCTCCAGCCTGGACGTGGTTGCAGCCATCGATGGGCCCCCAGTCATCAGCACTGCCTAGCATAGTTCCCACAATGCAGCTGGAAGGAGCTTGTCTAAAGCCCCCTGTGCCAGACCTTCCCACAGCTTCAGGGGCTCTCAGTAAAGACAGTGCATCTGGGCACAGTCCTGCGTCGTCCACCACACCTGCCCCCGGCTCCTTCTCACAGCTGTCACTTCCCCTCCAGCCCGAGTTCCCTGAGCCCGGGCTGACCCGCTTCTGCATCCAGCCCGCGAGGACTCCGAACACAGCTCTTGACGTGTGTGTGTCCTAGGGCTGCGGTAACTGCTCACCGCTAACTGGGGGCTTAAAACGACAGATACTTCTCCTCTCGGTTCCAGAGACCAGGCCTCTGAATCCGGGTGTCTCAGGGCCGCGCTCCCTCCACAAGGTCTGGGGAGGTCCTTCCTGCCTCGCCCAGCTTGGTGGGGCCCAGGCGTCCCTGGCTTGTGGCCGCATCCCTCCATCTCTGTCCCTGTCGTCACACGGCCTCTCCTGTGTGTGAGATCTCCCTCCGCATCCTTCCTATAAGGACGCGTGAGATCATAACTGGGGCCCACCAGGTAACTCAGGATGACCTCACCACCTATCCTTCTATGTGACGATGACCCAAATAAGTGACCAGGGCTCTCCTGAGTGTGCAGCCTTCCTGACTTGGCATATAAATCCCCCAATCTCTCCCTGATAAAATTTCCATGTGTCTCCAGCACCATCCCTACCATTTTGGGGCCTGACTTTTCCCAGAGGAGGTCCTGGTTCTTACTGCTCTTCATCAGGCTGGGGCAGGGTCTGCGTATGTGCATGAACTGGTGACAGGAGACAGATGCCACAGGAAGACTTCATCCCCCGTGAGCTGATGTGCGAGGAGGGGGACGCCTGGAGACGTCAAAGAAGTAGTGTCTGAACAGAGCAGGGGCCTTTGGAGGGACCAGCATGGGTGCAGCTGTCAGGGGCTCTCGCCCTGACTTAAGAGGCAGTAACACAGAGCAAGAGAAGTGTAGGTGGCGTTGACAGAGGCCCTGAAGCTGTGTCAGCCTTGGTGTGGGCAGTGGGGGGTGTCTCCAGCAGGACTGGGAACGGGAGGCACAGCCCAGGGCTGGGCAGCGATGCCCCACTCCGCTGGGTCTCTGGCTGAGTGGAGGCCGGCAGGCAGGAGCAGGGTCAGGAAGCCGCTGGAGCAACCTGAATACCAGCATAGCCTTGCTCTGGGCGTGGGCAGTTGTGATGGCCTGGACTGGGGCCATTCCGTGCATTTCAGGGGCAGATGGATGGTGGTCAGGAAGCTGTTGGAAGACTCATGGCCGTCCAGCGCAGAGGGGCCACAGCCAGAGCCAGGCTGCATGGCAGAAACGGGAGAGGGCTGCAGTGGGCCTCACGAGACTCAGGACAGGCTGCATCTGCCCCGGTCCCTGCAGCCCCTCCTGTCACTCCACGCCTGTGCCCTTTCCTGCCGGCCAGCAGCCACCGAGTCAGGCTGTCTCTCCATGTCAGGCCCTCCCGTTTCTCCTGCTTCCTGCAGCGCAGGAGAGTGAACCTGCTGTGCTCGCAGCCCTGCGCTCTTGGAGCCTGCCCTTCCCTCGGCCCCATAAATAAGCCGCAGCCCGTCCAGGTACACTCATCTGTCTTGTTTAATAGACTGGGGACGCCGCGTGCCGTGGCAGGTCGCCAGGAGTCGCAAGGTGATGGATGGCGCCTTCCTCATCGGATGGCATGATGTATAGTGAAATCTTTATGATTTATTTCAGCTGATAACCTGGCGTGAAGTGCGGGGTGTGTGAGAGCAGACAGTGAACATCAGCGCTGCCCTCAGAGGGCGGGTGTAAGCGTCCGCACATGCACACACTCTCGCATCCATGCACATCTGAGGGACCTGCACTTGCACGCACATGTACCCATGCTCACACTCAGCCCGCCTCACCCGTATCCTGGATGCCTGGGCTGGAGCGCAGACCCCATGTCACTCGCTGTTCTCCGTCCCACCCCCCTGCTCATGCTGGGCGACGCGTGGTCGGGCGTCACGTTTCCCAGGCCATCTGAGAAGGGATGGCTGCGTCCTCAGCTGAGAGGGCTGCCATCAGGGCTGCGTCAGAGAAACTAGACGGGAAAGTGCAGGCAGGCAGCGTGGAGGGACAGGAAGTCCCTGTTCTCGTGTCAGAGGTATTGGGAAAGGGCCGCAGTCGTGCCGGCCCCATAGGGCCCTGCTGTGGCCAGAACTCCACAGTGGGACATCGGAGGTGGCAAGTTCTCTTACATTTTCTGTTTTCACGGCCTGAGAAACAACAGGAAGGCACTGGGTGGGCAGTGACAGCAGCAGCCATCACGCCTCGGAGCCCTGGTTTTCATGGGCAGTCCATATCCATCCTCGTGGGATGCTGCCAGCTGCTTAGGGCCACAGCCAGAGGGGCTTTTCTGGTGTTGGCATCACAGATTGAGGTCACGGCCATTGAACTTCGTGTTCGCTGCCTTGTCCCAAAATGACCCCCATGCGGCCACTGTACCCCTGGTATTGACGCTCCCAAACACAGGCACCCAGGGGTCACCACACGTGTGCACACCAAAGTACACGGAGCCACAGCCCTATTGGAGCCCAGGACATGCTTCCCAGTGACCAGAGCCCCTTTCCCAGGTGACACGGCCGTGTTCAAGGACGGCAGGTACTGGATCCGGGGCCGCACATCGGTGGACATCATCAAGAGTGGGGGCTACAAGATCAGCGCCCTGGAGGTGGAGCGACTCCTGCTGGCCCACCCTAGCATCACAGGTGAGTGACCACGGCACTGCCTTGACCTTGAGCCTGTCAGTTCAGCTCAGCTGCTCTTGATCCAGACCCAGCCTGTCTTGGACCCAGATGGACATGCTCCAGCTATGTCTTCCTGTGCTTGATCATAGACAAAATGGGACCAGGTGACGCAATCATAGGTGCCACACAGTTAGTGTCTGCCCACCCCAGCCCACCTTGAGGATCTGCCTACCACCCACCACAGTTAGCGTGTGCCCACCCTACACCACAGCTGGTTTCCAGGCCTGATCCAGATGCTGCCAGGTCTGTTTAGCCTGCGAGCAGAAGAGCAGCGGTGTCCACACCCTCTCCCATGCTCAGGAATGGCAGTGAGATCAGGGCTGGCCATGGGCCAACTGTCCTGGGCAAGACTAGAGGAGGTGGCCATCCTGGCACTGAGGGGAGGCAGTAGGCACGTGGGTGCTGGTCCAGGAAGTGTGGGCCCCATCCAGACCTTCTCCTGAGCTTGGGTCCCAGGCTGTGAGGACCCGGGGGACGGCAGAGATGGCTGTCCACGTGGCCCATCCATGGGAGCCCTTGGGCCCAGGAGGCAGAACATTCCAGAATTTGATCGTCCACAGCCTTCATATTAAGAATTGTGCCCCAGGACAGTGCAGGGGGAGGGCAGGAGTGGTGGAGGGCCAACCCGCCCTGGACCCCCCCAGAGACGCCAGGGGAGGGTGTCCTTGCCTGTCCCCAGCAGGACTCTCATGCTCCTCAGCTGCGGACAGGGTGTCCCAGGACTGGCTCTAGGGCCCTGGGCGACTGCTGCACGTTCTGGCTACTCTGGAGCCCACAGGAGGCCTGGTTGTATTTCCAAGGTGCCCCTCTCTATTCTTCTGTCCCCAGATGTGGCTGTGATTGGAGTTCCGGACATGACGTGGGGCCAGCGGGTCACTGCAGTAGTGACCCTTCAAGAGGGACACTCGCTGTCCCACAGGGAGCTCAAAGAGTGGGCAAGGTAAGGGTTGAAGGGCACAACTTGCAGGGTCAGACGAACAGGACAGACGTGGTAAGGACTGTCTCGTGTCAGGGAGGGACAGGCAGGGTGAGAACTGTCCCGTGTCGGGGAGGGATAGGTGGGGAGAGGACTGTCCCGTGTCAGGGAGGGACAGACGGGCTATGGACTGTCCTGTGTCAGGGAGGGACAGGTGGCATCCTGGGTCCTGCTGGCCTCCTTCGTGGGGCTGGGTCAACCTCGAGGGTCAGACATGCTAGTACTTACAGGAGTCTGCCCACAACACGCCAAGGACCCAGGAAGCGCCATGACCACAGCAGGAGCAGATGTGGCCCTGTCTGTGCTTTCCCCTAAAGACCGTGAACACTTACAGGGAAATAGGAGGCCCCTGCCCTCCTGGCACAGGACTCAGGTCCCAGATTTGGGGCAGGTTCTGAGGTGGCAGACAGACGTGCTCTGGGGACAGGATCCCCTACGGTGAGCGGGTGAGTCCTCCCAGGACTCGTCAGGGAAACACATGGATGAGCCCAGCACTGCGATCCAGAGCAGTGGACGTGGCCTGGGGGCTGGGCTGAGTGAGTTGCAGCCTTCCCGTCCACTCCTGGGCAAACATGGCAGCATCCCTCAGCGGGCCACCCCACCGTGGTGCAGACACAGGCCTTTGCACATGCCCTTTGGGAGCTCACTGCCTGGCTGAGGCCAGAGCTCCCCACCCCTGCATGGGAGCCAGCAGGAGCCCTGTCCCTCTCTCCCCTGCGTCTTTACCAATTTGCCCTCGTGTCACCCTAAACCTTCTCCCAAGCCCTTCTGCCCCCATCGCAGCCCTGGTGGTTTCTCTGCATCCCAAGGCACACAGGCCCCCTTCTCTGTGCCCAGCAGTCAGTCCCAGCCCAAACCTGAACCCCCGCCGTCATCAGAGGCTGGACAGGACAGGACAGGGAGAAGCCTCTGATGGGACCGTTGGGCAGTGTCCTGGCAAGCTCGGAATGAAGCTGTTAGTAATATCCCCAGATTCTTTATTTTAAATCTAAGAATACTCTCCTTTCTATCCACTCTCCCCCCACCCTCTTCCACCCCAACTTGCCTCCTTCTCCTTAGTGCTAAAGAGATTTTGGCTCCAACGTGAATTCACAAACAGCAGGATTCCTTGTTTCATGAGGGGCCACACAGCTGGGCCGTTAGATTCCCCTGGACGCACAGCCTCGTGGTGGAATGCTGCATGGCAACAAAGGCAGAGAGGACGCTAGTCAGCCGGTTGCTGCTTTGATTAAACCATTACTTAGTTAAAAAGAGAAAGTAGGTACCTTGTGCCGAGAGCTCTGCCCGAGAGTTTCAGGGTCCAGGTCTCCAGCCACACGTCAGCCCTCAGCCGTCCTCAGGCAGGAGGCCCGGGCACCCAATGTCCAGTGCTCTGCCCCTTTGCACCCTGTGCTATGCTTTCTGTCCATCCCTCTGAGTTCAGGTGGCTCCTCGCCTGGCACCTGCAGGGCCTGCACCAGTCACTGTGGCTTGACCATGGGTGTGACAAGGCCCTGAGATGGGCGCTGTGTGCAAAGGGTTTGGGGCACCTTGGGGAGGTGCTCCCAGGAGGGCAGGCGGCCAGCCTGTGGGCTCCATGAGGACTATCCAAGGTTGAGGCCTTGTCTGGGCCTTTGTGTCCTCACACTGGGCAGTCACAAGGCGGCGACACCGAGGTTGCCCATTCCGTAGAGGGAGAGGAGGAGTCTTCCTTTCAAAGGGAGGGCTGAGTCCACATCCAAGGCACCATCCACGTCTGTGGGACACCTGAGGGATGAGGGAGAGGTTCCAGGCTCCGATTCTTCTGGATGCTGCTTTTTAGTGAAGCTGCTGGTCCTTTCCGTGTCACGTTCATTGCCATTTGGGGGTCTTTTTAAAAGTTTTCTTTAAAAATAATGTTTTCCCTTTTGCTGCCATTTTCTTCATTTCTGAAGATGCTTGCTGCCTCCGTCTCTCTGCTCCCCAAGTAAAGGGCTGTCCTTCTCCCCTTGCCACACTGTTGGCGGGAGTCAGGAGAGCTGGCCGACCCCCAGCTCAGGCAGGGTATCTCCTCGAGGGGGTGAGGATGGCCCAGGATCCGGGTAACAGCACCACGTTTTCAGGGTGTGGGACATGGTCGCCCCATCACCCTTCCATCCCCCAAACTGCCAAGTTGAAATGGGCCATGTGGGACTTCAACACCAGGAATATTCAGGAAGCCAGTCTTAAAACCAAGCCCCACGTTGACGTCTCGTGGAACTGTGGATGAGTAGTGGGCTTTGGCTTAAAGTCCCGTCCTAACTTTGTGCCCACTGTCCTTCCCCAAGGAGACGAGCAGAGGAAGTCGCTGGAGCGGTTCCCCCACTGCTGGGGGAACCTGCTCTCACTAGCACCTCGGCTCTGCTGGGCTCCTGGCCAAGACCCCCCTTGGCCTCAAAGCTCTTCTAAAAGTGTCATGGTCGACCAGCTGCTAAACTGAGACCTTTGGAGGAGAAGAGAGCCGGCGTTCTCTGCACAGACTCGTGGGCGGGCTCCTTGGTTCCCAGAGGGGATAGTCTCCTTCCCAAAAGGACCGCTGTTCTCAGAACAGCAGGGTCCACGTCCTTCACCATACTCTTAGGTCGTTTATTCGTTGTCCCAGCCTTTGTTCCTCTTTTAGTGGTCGCTAAGTCAGGTTTATAAGGAGTGGCTTTAACTTCCTGCAATGTTGCGCGTTCCCGCACAGACAGCGTGCCTCGCCTCACCCTGCCTGCCTGCCTGCTGTTGTCACTACACTTTTCTATTTGTTACAGACCCCACACTGCATGCTTAGTATTTCTGTTCAAATCGGTATTTCTTAGAGAGAAGTTAGTCCTAAGGAAAGTGATGTGTACGCCCCCACATGCTGTTCTTCCCACCCAGCGGGACCTGGGTTCCGTCGGCACAGATGCCTCACGTCTCTGGTTCAGGAGGAACTCTGTCAGCGTCTGTGCATCTGAAAGCATCTTTAATTTCACCTTCAGTCTTGAAAGGTGCTTTCCCAGACGTGGGATTCTAGAGTGACGGGCTTTCTCTTAGTCGGTGGAAAGCAGTCCTCCACTGCCTTCTCACCTGCCCTGTCACACAAGGACCTGCCGCCGTCTCAGCCACAGCCCCAGACCGCCCCTGCCCTCTCTTCTCCAGGCCCTGCCACCAGCTCAACGCTGGCACATCAAAGGGGAAGTGGGACGCCCACCTGGAAGGTGAAGGCACGGGCGTGGGGACAGCCACACGGCACCGACGCCCACCCAAACCCTGCTGGAGACAGAGTGTTGGCGGCAGGGCTCAGGGAATGGGCAGCTTTGTTCCAGGAGCAGGTGGGGCTGTTGGGCTGTAGGGTTCGCCCTGCTGCACTGTCAGGGCAACTAGGCCGGTTCGGGTGGCTTGTTCCGGTGAAGTCCAGCCCAGCCCTAGTGGGCAACCAGCCGCCTCCTGCAGCTGCCAGGACCACAGACAGTGGCACCATCTCCTCTCACGAGCCAGCAGCCTGCACCGCGAGCTCCCTAGTGTGGGAGCCACAGCATGACCTTTGGCCAGCAGGCTATTTGTGGCATGAGCCATCCCCGCTGATGCTGCACCCAGCCCACAAAGGCTGTGAGGCTCATGCTTCTGCATAAGCACCGGGCTGCTAAGGCCGAGATTGGGGGTTTCTCTGCCACCATCGCCGGCTCCTGGCTGTGACGCGTGCTCTGTGGTCGAGGCTGCTCCGCAGCTCGCAGCCTGGAGGTCCACGTGCGCCTGCTGGCCCTGGGCAGACATTGGGGTGCCGCGTGTCCTGTGCTTTGCTGTCTGTGACCCTCTGCCCATCTTGAAGCTCCTTGCCAGCAGCCCCACGAGCAGACCCTCCGAGGCCCAGGAGGCCAGGAGCTGGCGTGCCTGGTGCAGGAAACGGCCGCGGGTCTGTCTCCCCCTTCACCCCAGGCAGCATCCTGAGTGTCTACCATTTCCTCGCAAAAGGGCCTGTGGCCCCGCAAGCAGCTGTCGGAGAGTGAGAAGCAGGCAGCTCTCATCTGCTCAGAGGGAGAACCAGTGCCTGCAGCCTGAGGAGTTTTCCGGAGTAGAGCCTGGGGGTGGAGGGACCCCACTGTGGAGCTACTGACAGGAGAAAACACCATCTAACTGGGTGCGGGGGGGTCAGGGCAGCTCCTGGACCCACAGACAAGCCCCTGCCGCTGCTTGGGTGCTGGGCTCTGGTGAGGGAGGGCAGCGCCGGCCCACGTGGCCACCACACCCAGTGGTCTGCGAGGTGCCCGCAGGCCCCTCGGCCCTGACCACCCACCTCCTCCACTTGTCTGGCCGAGGCCTGCTGCAGAGAACAAGCTGTGGAGCAGGACCTTTCTGGCTCCAGGGCGAGGTCTCATCCTCTCCCCCGGGGCGGGGGCAGAGGGCCAGCAGGGCCTGGACCACACACTGTGGCATCTCTGTGTTCGAGTTCGAGTTCGGGGCTGGCCCGAGCTGCGGCTGGGTGCCGTGGCGCTGTCTGGGGAGGATGCTGGGTTCCGCTGCTCAGCCAGTGCTTGTCTCTGCAGAGACGTCATGGCCCCGTACGTGGTGCCCTCGGAGCTTCTGCTGGTGGAAGAGATCCCGCGGAACCAGATGGGGAAGGTCAACAAGAGGGACCTCGTCAGGCACTTCTACCCATGCAACCAGGGCGCCCCCAAGGCCGGGCGCCAGTGAGCCAACGTCCCCTTCAGACCCGAAGCCCCTAGCTCAGGCAGAACAGAGTCAAGTCTGACTGAATGAGGCCACAGCGCGAGGCCTCTGCAGCCACTGGCTGATTTCAAGTCATCAGGTGACTGCATGTCACCTCTGCCCCGTATTTGGGCCACACCCGCGCCTGCACGTGGCCCCACATGCTCAGGGCCCCCTGCCCCCAGGTGCCCTCAGGCTGCCAGGCAGGTCCTGGAAAGTCCAGAGGTGTCACCAGGGAAACAGGTCTCCAAAAGGAATGCAATAAAGGCCGCACAGAGTAATGGGATGCCTGTGCTGTGTGTCCCCGTTTGGCCGCTTCGTTCACCACAGGGCACAGGAGTGCACACCTGTGCACCACACAGCAGGGTGTCTCTGGCCGTCGGGGAAGCCCATGGAGCCACCCCAGGTGACCTGCAACCTCTCCTGAGCCCCCTGGGTGGACGCCGGACTGTTCTGAGCAGCCGACCTGGAGGACAGGCCTGGGTGCCTCTTCCGACCTTCCCTGGTGTGTCCCTGGGCAGCTCTGGGACGGCCTCTTCAGGGCAGAGCAGCGGCGGTGGGGATGGGGCTCAGCGACCAGAGGCAGGGAGCAGAGTGCCTGGACCCTGTGCTGGGTGGCTGCGAGCAGCCCCCTGGCACCCCCAAAGGGAACCTTCCAGACCTGGGCCTGGCAAACTTCACGTATGGGCCAGGTGGTCAACGTTTTGGGCTCTGCGGCCGTGCTCCCTGTCACAGCCACTCACTTCCACCATTGTAGCGTGGATCCCACTGTCCTCATTTGGAGTCCAGAGTCCTTGCGGTAGCCATAGGCTGGTCACGACTGGCCTGCAGCTGCTCTGCCATGACCCTTGACCCACACCCCCCGCCTTGGTGCTCCCTCCACAAGAGCCCCTTCCTTTCAGTCTTTGTCTAAATATCACCTTCCCAGCTGCCCCACCCCACATACAATTCCTGTCCCCGCTACAGGGGCTCCCTACTAGGCGGCCCCAGGTCCTCTGCCCGCAAGCTCAACGATGGGGCGCGCTAACCTGCAGAGAGCGACCGCGCGTGTCGGCCTTCCTCTCCCGTTCTTGGTTGTGTTGATTCAGATGCCTGAGTGCCCCCGTGTGCACACCAAGTGGAGAATCCAGAAGTTTCTGGACCGTTTACTGGAGACCAGGACCGTTCTGCCCAAGACTACTGAGAAGTGGTGCTCACAGCACAGTAGGAGTCTGGCCTTGACTTTTCCAGAACATTGTTTTCCTGGAATATGGGTCTGAAAGAGCAGCAAAATGTGGGAGCTGGAGCTGGAGGGGCCCCCTAGGCCAGGTGGAGGTGCAGTGCCCTGGGGACAGATAGGCCCTGAGAGGCTGTGGCCCAGCAAGAGGAGGCTGGGCAGAGCGGACGGAACTCCAGCGGGCAGCACGCGGGGGCCCAGGCCACTCCCCCAGGAGCTGTGTGTGGCCTGTGGCTCCCCCAAGGCCTGACCCCGGGCATGGCGTTTGCTTGGAGGAATTTCCCCTGTCCGTGCTCCCTCGGTCACCCGCCTACTGAGCAGGCCAGGCTGCCGAGGGGCTCAGCTGCTGCACCTGCAGCCCGGCTCCTCTTGGGCACGGGACTCGATGCCATAGCCAGACACTCCGGGCCCCAGCTCCTGACTGTCCTTGTGTCTGGCCCTGCGGTAACTAGGGAGCCACATGCTACTGAGAAAAACCAGATCTAACATTGCAGGATCTTTCCTAATCCCACTGGTTTGACATTGCATCTGTATTAATACTGAGATTTTTTTATTTTTATTTATTTTTATTTATTTGTTTTTGCTGAGGAAGATTCACCCTGAGCTAACATCTCCGGCAGTCTTCCTCTATTTTTTATGTGCGTCATTGCCACAGAATGGCCGCGGACAAGTGGTGTAGGTCCACTCCCAGGAACCAAACCTGGGCCACCAAAGCAGAGTGCGCCAAACTTAACCACTAGGCTTTGGGGCCAGCCCTGATGCTGAGAATTTTGATTCCTAAAAATGTTTACATGATTATTTGAATTATGCTGTTATCCACCTGTATGAAACATTTTCCAAAAAGTAACGGTCATCTTCAACTACCAACACATCCCTCTGAGGACAGTCAGGACGCTGCGCCACACTTGCTAAGTCAACATGACAGGGGCGCGAGGCTTCCCAAAAGCTCTCCCATGGCTGGAAACGTCTCCCTCCCCCCGCACACATGCGCATGCCTGCTCCCTGAGGGTGCGACCCTCAGCCCGGCAGCCCCTGCCATCAGCCACTTGGCTCCCCAGGGAGAGCCAGGAGCGGGGCCCGGGGAGCAGGTTGCTGCAGTGCCACTGACACCCATTTGTGCCTGTGGCCTCACTTGGCCGTGTGGGGCTTGAACTCACTGGGAGGCAGCCGGGAGTGTTGCGGGTGTCTGGGGGGCTGCTCCTCAGACAGGCCGCATCCTTCGCGCAGAGCGGGACCGGCCTGCGCCTGCAGGTCCCTCAGGCCCCAGAGTGCAGGGGCTGTGCCTGGCTCGTCCTGTCCCCAGGTGTTCCCACGTCTCTCCTCTGGATGTGGACTCATCGGTGGCCGGGGCGAGGCCCTCGTCCACAAAATGGGCTCTGCTTCCTCCTCCATTTATTCAGCAGACGAAGTGGAGCTCAGCATCCATGTGTGCAGACAGAACCAGCTTGGGGGAGAGACCCCCGGGGGACAGGCTTGAAATAGACACAGAAATGGGGCCAAAACTACCTGGCCCCTCCCCGACACCTCAAGGCCCACACCCTTTCTCCCTCAGTTTCCCCGTTCTGTGATCTGAGGCCAGTGCTTCCTCAGGGCTCTTCTGGCTGACCAAGGACTGAGGGCTCTGCTCCCTCAGAAGCCAAGTCTGGGGGTGCTGGTAATGCCAGCACAGCCTCCCACCCAGGAGCTCACCACCCGCCCTGGCCCCCTGGTGGGCTGCATGCGGAGTGCCAGCAGCCAGGGATCAGCACAGGCCAGGCCGCCAGCACCCACTGACCGGGCACCTCTGTGTCCACCCAGTGGCAGCCATGGCTGGGATCTTTCTGTCTAATGCCCACACTGGCCCTCCCGCCACACCAGCAGCACGAGGTTCCCCACGGTCACGGGTCACTCAGCGAGCCAAGGCCTCCGGTGTTCCCTCTGTGCCCGGCCTTCACGCCTGGGGCCTGAGAACGTCCACACCTGGGCCTGGCTCCCCTGGAACCTCACAGCCCCTTCCACAGGGGGCGGTCAGGAAACATCATGAGCGTGGACCCTCAGTGCCAGGCCCCCAGGACCGCAGGCAGCCTTCATGCCCTGGGTGAGTTGCGACCCCCCCAGGGCCAGGGATCAGACTGCAGGTGAGCCCATGAGCAGAGCCGCCTGCCACCCTGGCCCCCAGTCAGTACAGGTGGGGCCAGGACGCCCTGCAGGCCAGGGCAGGGAGGCCAAGCACCCCCGAGCAGGACCCCATGTCCGCCACCTCAGAGGGCTAGCCAGGCCCCGCAGGAAGAAATGCACCGCCCCCAATGCCCGGGTCTGGGCACTGAGCTGGGCGCCCAGTCTGAAGAGGGTGTGGAGACTGCCTGCTGCCATCTCAGGAGGAGGTGACACATCTGCAGTGCAGGAACTGCAGCCCAGCGCCCGGCGAGACGAGGCAGCCCTGGAGAGACAGCACAGCACCTGCCTGACCGCCAGTGACTGGTAAACAGGAGGTGCGTGCCTGCAGGTGCATACACCCTGCACACGCCTGCATGCACGCGTTTGTGTTCACACATACCTGCGTGCATGTGCATACACGTGCCTGTGCACACACACATGTCCTGTGACGCTCCCCAAGTCTTTGGGCTAAGTGGGACTAGGATTATAAAATAGTTCTCCGAAAACCCGTGGAATCACCTTAAGCTCTGAAATCCCAACTCTTTTTCTGTTTTATGTTGAATTTCTACATAAAAAACTTTGAAGTTTTCCAGCACTAAACAGTCAACTTGAAAACTACAGCTCTAGTTCTTAAAATGGTCCTGTCTGTGACCTCACTTCTGTGGGCTTCTTCGTGACCCACACTGTCCCCTCCCCATGCCTGCCTCTCCCTGTTCCTCCTCCCTCACTTCCTGGGCCTGTCTGTGCCCTCCCCTGCTGGACCGCCACAGTCCCCTCCCCCATCACTCCCTTATAGTCAGAGCCCCCCCGAAGTCTGGTGAGTTGCTCAAGATCACCTTTGTCATTGTGGTCCTGTGTACACTGTCATGGTTGCTTGGCAGCCCTTCTAGAAACTTCCTGAGACAGAGCAGCCCACACTTCACTGTGACCCCCTACACCCTGCCTTGGTGGGCCCTCTGGGGCTAGCTTCCCCTCCCACAGGGCTGTGAGCAGAGCTCAGAGCAGCCTTGATCCTGCTCACGGGAGTAAAGTGTACCTTTGTTAAAACATCAAGGATGCAGTAAATCCCTAGCTCACCAAATAGATCAATATCAAATTATCATGTCCCACATTCATAACTCTCACACGCAGTAACGGGGAGGACAAGGTCACTGAGAATAAATAGCTGCAGAGGCGCTGTGCGATCCATCACTGCAGACAGCCGCGGGCGTCCCGCGTGGCGCTGACACTGCCATTAATAAAGCTGGGAGATGGATGACCACTGGGAGGGGCCGGGCCACCAGCCTCACCCGGGGAGCCTGTGCCCGGCTCTGCCGCGAGGCAGGAGGGGCTTGTACCTTCCCCAAATATGAGGGAGAGGAGGATCAACCCAGCTGGACTAGCCACAGGGGCCATGCTGGGATGGACACTCCAGCAGAGTGTCCCGGGCCATTTTACAGCCAAGGAAACGGTCAGTGAGGTGAGCGACTGCCCCAGGGTCACAGGAAGAGGCAGGCTGGGGTGGACACCAAAGCACTGGGTCTTGCAGCTGCAGCAGCTCTGAGGGGTGAGGTCAGACACCACAATCAGGATTGTATGACAAAGTGCATGGGTGTGGGAGGAGGCTGTGGGCCCGTCCGTGGGAGCACTGCCAAGCAGCATTTGTGCTGGTCTTGGCAGGTTGGCTTGGGTGGTCCAGGAAGGAGGCAACCTGGTGCGGCCCAGGGTACAGGCCCAGGTGAAGCCAGCAGGGCCCTGGGATGATTCTGCATGTTGGAACCTGGGAGAAGAGGCTACACGAGTTCGGGAGCAGCGGGGTAGCTGCGTGGGGAGCAGCATGCTGGAGGCGGCACTTTGTGGGCAGGGAGGAGCCTGGCACGGGGCGTGTCACAGAGAAGGGAGCTGACCTGGCCTGGCTGACGAGAGCACCATCTCTGGGGTGGCCTGGTCCCGTC